TTTGTGTTCAGGAGCTGTATTGGCTTCGCTACCAGGTGTCTCCGACAAATTAGGTTTATACATCTATTTTTTATCTGTTTTCAGGAGCTGTATTGGCTTCGCTACCAGGTGTCTCCGACAAATTAGGTTTATACATCTATTTTTTATCTGTTTTCAGGAGCTGTATTGGCTTCGCTACCAGGTGTCTCCGACAAATTAGGTTTATACATCTATTTTTTATCTGTTTTCAGGAGCTGTATTGGCTTCGCCGCCAGGTGTCTCCGACAAAATAGGTTTATACATCTATTTGTTGTTTGTGTTCAGGAGCTGTATTGGCTTCGCTATCAGGTGTCTCCGATAAACTAGATTTATACATCTATTTTTTATCTGTTTTCAGGAGCTGTATTGGCTTCGCTACCGGGTGTCTCCAACAAATTAGGTTTATACATCTATTTGTTGTTTGTTTTCAGGAGCTGTATTGGTTTCACCACCAGGTGTCTCCGACAAATTAGGTTTATACATCTATTTGTTGTTTGTTTTCAGGAGTTGTATTGGCTTCGCCGCCAGGTGTCTCCGAAAAATATTGTTTATGCGGCTATTTCTTGTTTGTGCTCAGGGGCTGTATTGACTTCACTACTAGTTCGTGTTACATATTTATATGTACATATGTATATCATCATTAAACAGTTGGTCCACAGTATAATATCGAATAATGAATTAGGCACAATGTCATAACATTATTCACATTTAGGTTATTGTATGGTGAGTTAAAAAGGACTCAAAACCCAATAAGTTGCATACACACTTCACTAATAGGCCTAAATGTATATTTTTAATTTGCTGCCCGAAGCTGTGCTGATGAGCCTTGAATAGGCGAAACTGCAGCCTACAGCAGAAGTTACAGCCAATCAGAGAATGCGTTAGACCTCTACGTCACAGATTCTCTTTTCAGTTTGACCTTTGGTGAAAATAAATCTGTAATATATATTAGTATACATAATTTGACATTAATTTTTCGATCTGAACAAAGCCTATTTCTTAGCCGGTCTCTTGACATCAACAATATACTTGCTAACAAAACCTAGAAGGTCTCCACGAATATTTTACAGATAAACACAAGAAACAGATCATAACAAGTATATGGTAGTAGATACCCGTTCAGTAGTCGACATATCAATCGATATCTTTCAAAAACAAAACAGCCACATACGAAATTAGACAATTTAATAAGTGAAAAATTGGTGATGATTATGAATTAAATGTATGTAGTGGCAGATAACCTTTCAATAGTTGACAACTGATAAATATAAATCTATATCTCTTGAAAAAAACAACAGTACAATCAAAATCAGATGATAAGCATACACTTTTGAAGCAAAAGCAAACGAGCTATAAGTTACATATAGACTAATTCAACAAGTATACTCACAAGATAACTACTGATGTTTCACGGATACCTTACTTTGTACGACAAAACTTCTAAAAATGTTCGTGAATATTTTCCAAAGATTATCATCGAATAGATAGCATATTATCATGTTAGATAGAAAAACAATACACTAAATCTGACAGAAAAAATAAGTAGATTCTGTACCTAAACGCTGTAATAGATAGTTTTGTTTGTTTGGAATTAAGCACAAAGCTACACAATAGGCTATCTCTACTCTGCCCATCACGAGTATCGAAACTCGGTTTCTAGCGTTGTAAGTCCGCAGACATGCCGCTGTGCCATTGGGGGGCGTAATAGATAGAATTTCAACAAAATAAGCTAAAGTTCATACTTTATTTAATACTTCCAAACGACAGCTCACCAATTATAAATATTGGTTTTTATACAAATAAAGGATATGATAAACATTGAATGTCAACAAAATAAGCTAAGGTTCATACTTTATTTAATACTTCCAAACAACAGCTCAACAATTATAAATATCGTTTTTTATACAAATAAAAGACATGATAAACAAGTGCCCTGGTATAAAGTAAAGATCTTACAAATAAAAGACATGATAAACAAGTGCCCTGGTATAAAGTAAAGATCTTACAAATAAAAGACATGACAAACAAGTGCCCTGGTATAAAGTAAAGATCTTACAAAGACATGATAAACAAGTGCCCTGGTATAAAATAAAGATCTTACAAATAAAAGACATGATAAACAAGTGCCCTGGTATAAAGTAAAGATCTTACAAATAAAAGATATGATAAACAAGTGCCCTGGTATAAAGTAAAGATCTTACAAATAAAAGACATGATAAACAAGTTCCCTGGTATAAAGTAAAGATCTTACCTATTAGAAGAAAAATATTTCCAGTCATTAGATGTACATGATACTAATTTAAGTTAGGCTTAAACCTTATTCTCTTATCATGGTTATTAAAGATTACAATCATGTGTATTTTCGTTTTCTTAAAAAAAAAACAACAACTAAACAAGCCTGAAACTTTAATTAATTTTCATGACCAAATAATTATATTGTCTGGTTTGTAGTTGAATTTCGCGCAAAGCTACACGAAGGTTATCTGCGCTAGTCGTCCCTAATTTAGCAGTGTAAGACTAGAGGGAAGGCAGCTAGTCATCACTACCCACCGCCAACTCTTGGGCTACTCTTTTACCAACGAATAGTAGGATTGATCGTCACACTGTAACGCCCCCACAGCTGAAAGAGCGAGCACGATTGGTAGGACGGGGCATCGAACTCGCGACCCTCAGATTGCGAGACGAGCGCCCTAACTACCTGGACATGCCATTTAGAACTGGTAATCGTGCGTTTCGGGATTCGAACCCGCGACCCTCAGATTGCGAGTCGAGCACCCTAACCACCTGGCCATGCCGGGCCAATTATATTGTTATCTATGTGTGTGAGTTCACATTATCATAATCCTTATCTTACTCACCTAACTAGTTAATTGCCACTTTTTTGAAGTCAAAACTAATTTTAGTAAAACCTGATAAGTAAAACTGCGTGGCTAAAGCGTAGCCAGAGGTGCTTAATTCGGAGACTTTAAATTCTAGTCCTATTTGAAAATTAGTTGAAACATTAAGACTTTTCCCGCTAACGGTGGAACGTGTTAGAGCTTGAGATGCTACATGTTAATCCACGTGATTGGAAGCTAAAGTAATAATTTAATATTTACCACTTTATCAGTGCCCTTTTTTTAAAGTAATACAATGAATTTTTATAACAAAACCAAAATTTCTACCCATTTTTGTTCTGTTTTGGTATCCACTATTATTGTCCTAATTTCAAACTTACCAGGGCTATACGTGACCTAATTGTTAGCATGTCCAGCTGTGAACCCGAAGGTTCGTGGTTCACGTTGTGTTGTTACTGAATCGCGCTCTGCAATTTAGGCCTGTGGTTGCGTTACGACAGTAATGGTCAAATCTCACTATTCGATTAGAATAGCTCAAGATTTGGCGGTGGATGCTATTGACTAGCTGCCTTTCCTCTAGTTATCAGTTCAGAATGAGGGACAGATATATGCAGATACCTCTTGTATAGTTATATGCAAATATCCGAAAAACAAACAAACTAAACATAAGTCAATAGCCCACTAAGTAACTGAGTGAAATAACGAGAAAACTGTATCCTGATCATCATGATATTTTTATTCCACAACATTTTAACTATTTCCAATAGCAGGCTGTATTGAGTTTTGATTCTAAGGTTTGACAGCTGCGCTCTCAAATTGTCGAATTTCTAAAAAAAAACAAAAGAAACAAAAACAGAATT